TTAAAGTATGGTATGAAAGATAATATCAGACAAATCCTGACGAGGTAAAAATGTCTTCCTTTGAAAAAAAATAGGACATGCTATTGAACACTACAATAAGTAGAGCAGTGTATAAGCTTCGCTGAATACGGCTCCAATCAGCCATAAATAACAATGGAGGCCATAATGAAGAGCGGCCGTGTCCCTGAATGTCCCTGAATGTCCCTGAATGTCCCTGAATGTCCCGGATGTCCCTGAATGTCCCTGAATGTCCCTGTGGTGTTCTGTATGGAGGCACATATACATGCTTATCCACAAAGGATAAACACACTTACACAATGTAAACAATTTGGAGACTTGAATCTCATTTGAAAGACTTTCTGTTCTATCAAAGGTCACTTCAGTTTGAACAGTTACAAAAACACACAATAATGAATAATGTCCCCCTGTCGGACAACTCAGAGACAAACATCACAAACATCCACTTTGCTGAAGTCCAGCAAAAATGTCCTTTCTCTTTTGTTTCGCCTGACTTTGTCACGCAGAGTATCAGATGTTGGTCTGGGGATATCACAGTTAACAAGAGCAGCCCTAACTCTTCCTCAGATCTGTTTATAGTCGGTCTTTCTGTATTAACATCAAAATGTGAGATAGATAGATAGCAGCGACGTGCAGACAGGGGAGGCAGAGCCTCACCTGTCATACTCCAATGTAACGGAAAAACAATTAAAGAAAAACTAAATAGTAATAATAATAAAATGTCTCCATTGATCTGTGTTGTAAATGTGATTTATGTATGATTCCAATCGCATTTTATAGTCAAAATCAGCAAATTTGCCGAGCTCCGCTACGGGAGCGATGACAAGTGAGGCAGGGACGTGCTCTGCCTCTCGTAAGCCCACAGTAACTTGCTGGAGCACGGGCACTAATTTAGCGCGGCCACTTATTTTGTGAGCGCGCTCAAGCCATTTACTGTGCGCTGAGGTGAGGCACAGATGAGATCTGCCTCACCTCAGAATGCGTCACCCCACAGAAACTGGCTGGAAAGCGGGCCCTAAGCGCAATGTCTTCCTTTGAAAAAAAATAGGACATGCTATTGAACACTACAATAAGTAGAGCAGTGTATAAGCTTCGCTGAATACGGCTCCAATCAGCCATAAATAACAATGGAGGCCATAATGAAGAGCGGCCGTGTCCCTGAATGTCCCTGAATGTCCCTGAATGTCCCTGAATGTCCCGGATGTCCCTGAATGTCCCTGAATGTCCCTGTGGTGTTCTGTATGGAGGCACATATACATGCTTATCCACAAAGGATAAACACACTTACACAATGTAAACAATTTGGAGACTTGAATCTCATTTGAAAGACTTTCTGTTCTATCAAAGGTCACTTCAGTTTGAACAGTTACAAAAACACACAATAATGAATAATGTCCCCCTGTCGGACAACTCAGAGACAAACATCACAAACATCCACTTTGCTGAAGTCCAGCAAAAATGTCCTTTCTCTTTTGTTTCGCCTGACTTTGTCACGCAGAGTATCAGATGTTGGTCTGGGGATATCACAGTTAACAAGAGCAGCCCTAACTCTTCCTCAGATCTGTTTATAGTCGGTCTTTCTGTATTAACATCAAAATGTGAGATAGATAGATAGCAGCGACGTGCAGACAGGGGAGGCAGAGCCTCACCTGTCATACTCCAATGTAACGGAAAAACAATTAAAGAAAAACTAAATAGTAATAATAATAAAATGTCTCCATTGATCTGTGTTGTAAATGTGATTTATGTATGATTCCAATCGCATTTTATAGTCAAAATCAGCAAATTTGCCGAGCTCCGCTACGGGAGCGATGACAAGTGAGGCAGGGACGTGCTCTGCCTCTCGTAAGCCCACAGTAACTTGCTGGAGCACGGGCACTAATTTAGCGCGGCCACTTATTTTGTGAGCGCGCTCAAGCCATTTACTGTGCGCTGAGGTGAGGCACAGATGAGATCTGCCTCACCTCAGAATGCGTCACCCCACAGAAACTGGCTGGAAAGCGGGCCCTAAGCGCATGCCTGTTACCATCTCACTGTAGGTCACCAATGTAATGTTTGTAGATCCCTTTATTACATTTATCCTCGCCATCCATAGTCTCTAAATAACTTATTTCACGTATATATGATATTTAGGCTCGCTGGTCTCATCGTACAACGGCAATGAAAAAAGCATCAGGAGAGGCAGCCATAACCTCTGCCGCACTGAAGGGGGCGCACGTGAGCCCACAGGTTCTTGTTGCTACTGTAATTCTACGCAGAGACGGTAGACGTAACAACAAACTAGACTTTTGAAACTACAGGAAGATAAGGAGGACTTTTACAAAACAGTAATAGAGATTGTTGTCCAGAAGGATAGCATGGACTTCATCTTCAAGTCAAGGTAAGACCACAATTCTAATGAAAATGGGATCTTACTAAGAAAGAACAATCCAATATTTAGATGTTGGGTATCCTTTTGTTGAACGGTCTGTTCATCATAGCATCAGACTAAAAAAGCTTTTGAAAATAACAGAATATTTCGATTAAGGTCAAAATATAATATATCTATATATCTATATATCTATGGATAGATGGATAGATGGATGGATGGATGGATAGATGGATGGATAGATGGATAGATGGATAGATGGATAGATGGATGGATAGATGGATAGATGGATAGATGGATAGATAGATATTTTTTGATCCCAATTTGGGAAATGATTTTGTTACAGAAGCAGTGACTTGACTGAAATGGTTCAATTTGGAGTGTTCATTTTTAGGAACTCACCGATTACTTGCCTGATATCTTGGTTGTTCATAATATTTCCTTTACATAAACTTTCACTTCCTGTAAATATAAGTCGTCCAAGTGCCCACTTTGGTATTGGATTTACTTTGAAAAATGAGTTTGAGAGGAGGCTAAATCACCAAAGTGGGCGAAGGCTAAGGCTGTGGATATTTCTAAACATTTTTGAGAAGCATTCATAACAGGTGCACCACTTCCTGAGTGGAGAGGTCAGAGCGTTTACACCTGATGTTAATGTTGTCCATACTGTTGATTGTCAATAGGAACACCAGAGGCCTGTACTACGAAGCTGGATTTTCGCTTAGCCGGCTAAATTCAGGGAAATCTCGGGCTTTCCGGTCCTACGACGCTGGTTCTCTTTTTAGCGGGCTAGATCTCCATGGTAACTTATGCTGAGCGGCAAACCTGCTCCGGAGCAGGTTAGGTGGCAGGCTAAGAGATCAACTCAGTGAAAGCACTGCCTGCTGACCAATCAGAGCTCAGTGTGCGGAGTTTAAAGCTATCAAGTCATATTACAGGATAGAGGAAATACAGAAAAACTGCCGTTGCAGGAAAGACGGCCGTGAAAATGAATAGAATATCCCCTCCCATCTTCAGAGCAATCTGACTATTATAACATTAGCGTTAAGAAAGCTTACTTAAATATCTGCCACGACATAAGTAACCTGATCAGAGTAACATTAAGTACAGTCCGCGGCACTGTGAGTGCAGACGTCGATGTGTCCCATTATCATTCATATCATATCACATCATAATGTATCATATATTTCCTTATTTGAGTCAGCTGAGCCGTATCTGGCCGTGCAACACTCACAGTGTCACATACTGTATGCAGAAGTATTATTTTAAGCAACACATTAAGTTGACGAAACACTGGAGTCAAATGTAATTAAAGTCAGATCCACTCGTGTCTTGGACGGGGCAGTGATATCATAAACCTGTTAATGTACGCATTCAAACACTTTTTCTTTTACCAGCTGTATTCACCTTGCAGGTGCAGCTATGTGGCTTTTATCCTGGATAAAGTGTTTAAGTCATGGATGTTTAAAGTTTAACTTCTTCATATTTGACTAATATTAAAGTTCACTTTTCATTCAGGAAGTATGACGCTGCGCTGTCAGTACGCTTGTCCGTGTTTGTGATTGGTCGAATGCTCCAAATACCACCCCTTTCATGTGAACGCGCACCTAACTAGATAGGACACGGCTGGCTTGAGCGATCCACTTGATAACACAGTTTAGCGAGAGCGCGTATGTTTTGGATTGGGCCAACCGGCTAACTCAAACATATCCAGGTTAGGTTGAACCAGCTTCGTAGTACAGGCCTCAGGAGTCACTGTTTGGTGTGAGTAAAGAACAGTTCAACAAGACAGGAGTGTCAAAGACAGACAGCTGGGACTCATCTCGCCCACCGGCAACTTTACCATTAACTATTTTCATTACGAGAATAAGGACAATTACAAAATAAAAATATTACACATTACAAACACTAAATATAAAATAAAATAAATAACACCTCTTAGCCCTAAAATGGTGTCTTGTGTAAAACTCTTTCTATTGCATAATTATATGAAACATTTAACAGTATGAATACAAAGAAAAGTAACAATAAACAATGTTCCTATAGGCTTACTGTGTGCAATGTATGTTACGGCTGTCAAAATCTATTCAATAAATGAACATCAAGCGCCCAAAGGTTTTATTTGTGCTCGTCATAGAGACTTTCACACACATCCGGTGGTTTTGCTAAACTCATTTTGATGACGCCATATTGAAATAAACCTCTGAGCTTTGGTGACACATATGGCAGTATCATACCACTGTTACAGTGTGGGGGCTGTGTGCAGATCGGACCTCCTACTGTGACGCTTCCACACAAACAATTACCATTACAGACCTAATTCCCATCCATGTTAAATGACATGAGCACAAACAGGGGGGTAAATATGGGCCCGCAGGTACATGTATATCAATCCTGCCATGATACATGATACTGAGATGAAACGTGTTCAAACTGAAAAACACATATATAATAATATAACATGCAACACATTCATGCAAAACAGTCACAAGCAGCAGTCCAAAAGCCTCTGGTGGAAACCATGGCGAAACATAATAATAATGCTAGTTCCCCCAAAGAGGTGACGTTAAACCTGTTAACAGAGGAGTTCTATTTGTTAGAGTAAAGCTCCTACCTCTCACATCCTCGTCCTCGATGGTGGTGTTGGCGCTCTCACTGGACTCCTGAGGAACCACAGAGAGACACATGAGTATGACCAGCTGACAGTAGATGCATAAGCTGAAGACAGACGTTGAGTTTAACTGATGCTCTTTGTTGGTTCACAACAGGTCATTTTTTTTTATCCTAAATTGGGTTGGACCTTTAATAAAATGTAACTTTACCGGATAGATGGTGAAAGGAAACATGAAGAAACCATGCTGTGATAAAAGGGGAACTGCCTTTGGTTTGGAGAGCACCTTATGTATCTGGTAACACAGTGATGGCTTACATGAAGTCTAACTGGCTCAGAAACATCGTTGTAAAGAAGCCACCAGTTTATTTAGTGTATCTAAACTTCTGTTTGCAAACTTTTGGCTACACTTCTTTGACATTTGACACATACTAAGCGACACATTTTACAAATGGTGACACTGTTTCTAACTTAATGCAAACACACATTGCCGTATGTGCAAAGATGTGTCAACATATCTACAATAGCACCATGGGAACAAAACTAACCACAATGTAGTGTATTAACTGTTTATTAGCTTGACTTCTTGTTCCTTGACCTGTTTGACATGTTCCCAGATCTCAGGTAGAACTTTCAGTAGACAACACATCATGTAATGTATCCTTTGAATTCAAACTACATCCATAAAACATCTACAACACTTATGTGAAATGGCACATCACTTTCTCAATGATCCTTCTGCTTGAGGATTAACCCACAGAAAGAAAAAAAGCAGAATATGAAATAAGATGCACACTCTCTTCATGTACTGTATAAAGCTATACAACACTTACTATGCCAAGGAACACACACTGTATGCTACACTATGGGCTACAACACCACCATGTCACGGCACAAAGCATGCACATGATCCTACATTGTTATCTCATGGTCTATCCCTGACAGTATAGATCCATGAATGATCATGTAGATGCATGGATCTGCACAGACATGGCAGATGGGATTCTGTAAAGCGTTGGTGTCCATGGTATTGCATGGTCATCATTCTGTTCAGCATGCATAATCCCTTTGTCACTCAAGTATAAAACACTGTATCATTTTACAATGACAGTACGTGTTTTTGTTAGTAGGTTGAAACATTTGTGAGCGTAGTAAGTTAATCACACACGTGTAAGCATAATGTTGAGTCTCAGTATAACATGCAACAGTTGATACAACATTTCACAGCAGTAGCATTGACCCGCATTCAGTCACATGATGACATGTCGATGACCACCAAAAGCACAAACACATCCTCAGCAGCAGCATGGAGGCTCTACCCTAAAAAGGCGCACACTCAGCAGCAGCCTCAGAGCAGCTCAGTTGATACCTTGTTTCCATCAGCCGGGTTGTGGATAACAGTGGTTTGAGGCTCCTGATTTAGAAGGACCAATAGTAGGAAGAAAGGTTGGTGCAGAACAAAGTGAGTTAGGAAAAGCTTGTGACAGAAGAGCATTTTGAAAGAAAGAAAAAACAAGGACAAAGGGAGAACCCACATATTGAGAGGAAAGGAAGTCAGGTCTAAAACAGAATCACTACAGAATACTGAGCCACCACTACAGACACACGGGTTGTTAAGAAAATAGCAATATTGACGATCAAGTCAATTATATCAAGTCTTTCACCACAAATGATCACGTTTTACCAAACACTGACCACAACATGAACACCATGGAAATAATCCGTAAACAAATGTATATTTATTAAAACAGCGGTTCTCAATTACGCTTCGAGGGAAACTATTTTCCTTTTCCAATTCCGGATGCACTTTTATACAGATTTACAGTAGGCAGAACATTTACTCGGTTAGGTTAAAAAAGATCATGGCTTGGGTTACCAAAATTAATTTGTGTATGATTTGAAAAAATAGGTCAATCCTGGCGTTTGGTTCCACACAGGACACAGCAGGTGAGGGTGTTGGTTTGATGCATTCATTGACTTCATCCTCCTTACTTTGCTCCCCAAACTATGATTAGTAACGTATGTGTGAACGTCCGAAACAAACGTAATCAGGGAGAACAAACGTTGCTGTAGAACACTAAAGGAGAATGCATTTTTTCTAGTAACGTCTTTTTTAAGGTTGGACAGACAGGCGTTTGACCATTTCCACACAACTCAACATCAAACAACCTGTGTTACTCTGAAGAGAATAACCCAATAATCAGAGGCAACACACTGTCAGGATGGATTTCCCACACATACATGCTTTGGCACTACAGGTTTTCCTGTCAATGGTGTTATACAGTATAACTGTGTCCCAGCTGACATGCTTTACTTTGACTAGAATCCCTACAGAGCGAGTCTCTCTGCGGGTGAGCGCTCCGTCACTCTGATGATCACTCTGATGATCACTCTGATGATCACTCTGATGATGTGTGACAGTCTCCTGACAGAAGAGCTCAGTCCCTAGTCAATCACATGATAATGCTACTGCCATTGCTGGATTTGTGCTGTAGGTTTGCATGAATATTATATATGTAACCGTGACTTTTTTCTATGTGAAAGTGAAGAAAATGGAATGTGGAATCTCTCAGGGTTGGATGGCTGTGGAATCTCCCAGTTGTTTCTTCAGGATGATCTGTAATTTGCAACTGTGAGGAAAAAACGTCCTGTATGATAAAAAGTCACAAGGTCAAAAAAAGAAACTCAACATGTTGGGAAATATAAGGATTTACTTTTCTTTCTATCCGTTTCTTGGCCATTCCATTTGAAGCTGGAATTATAACCCAGATTAGCATAACAACTGGAAGCGGCTATATGCTACGTTACGCAATTCTTTATTGTCCCCATAAGGAAATGTCTTCTCTTGTTCTATCATGGGAACCCAGAAGGTAGGAGCTGGAATTCTGGGTGGAGAATGTGGGGAAGATCAGACAAGATTGTGTGTGCCTGTCTAATAATGGACTGCTCATATATGTTTTGGAGAGATGGATGTTTTTAACCCCCATCTGTTACTTCAGCTGCACTGTCAAGTTAGCATCCCAGGCAGTGATTCCATATCTGATGGTGCTCTCCAACACTGCATGGTAAAACAATAACATGAACTTCTGCTCGACTCCCTAAGCCCTGCGACTACGCACAAAATACAACCGCAGTTGAAGTCTAAAGCACAGACCTTCAACATGGACCCTGCTAGCCATTCCAGAGAGCATCTCCATTCTTCTGAAATTCACTAATCCAGCATGAATTCGGTGTGCCTAATCTGGACACAAACTGTACAGATTAAACAAAGCAAGACACGTCACTAGCATAATTGAAATCAATCCACCAACAAATGATCATATTGAGGAGTCAACTACAACTCTGTTGGTGCATTTCAAAAACCTTTACATTACACTCTTAAAAAACTCTTTGAACAATTCACTTCCTGGTTCTGGGTCAACTTAAAAGAAACATAAATGTGGTGTGTTTTGTGTTCCCATTAGCAACACCGCTCTGGTTCAAGTCTCGCCTGGCTCATGGGTAATGTATTTTGTGGATCTATTTAGGATACCACAAAAACAAAATAATGTTTAGTGGTTTCAAAAAATCGTTCGAACAGCAAACCAGAGTTGTCCTGTTTGGTTGACATCAACGGATTGAAGCCTGTTGGCCACAGTTTGACGTTTAATGGCACAAGGGTAGCCATTATCGCTATAATCAACAACAAAGGAAAATGTAGCCCATGTACAGCAATATGGCAATGCACTAAGCAACTGAGAGGTGACGAGGACTGCTCATGTTACAGAGGAATACATACATTTGTGGTTTTGAAACTTTATGGAAAAACAATCAACATTAAGAGAAAAAGAAGTGTGTGCCACAGAGCTGTATAATCCCACAGATGCCACTGACAGTGTGGACAGATACAGTTAGACAGACATGCACACATGCAGCGAGGCAGGAGACAGTGTACCAGAGAAGGAGTGGGGGCGGGCTCTTTGGGGCTGGTGACCACATTGGTCTTGTTGTTGATCTGAGTGACAGAGTGACAGACAGGTAGACAGACGGACAAGACTTAGTGTTTAAACAGTGAAGCAGCTGCTGTGGAGGGAAAAGTGAAACGTTGTTCAAGAGAAAGGCCAGTGGTCTGTGGTCCATCTGACATGGAACAGAGTCTGAACATGGAACAGAGTCTGAACATGGAACAGAGTCTGAACATGGAACAGAGTCTGAACATGGTCATACATCCCTGACAGTACAGAAAAACATCACCAACTTTTACAAAGGAAAGATTTAATAACCAGCGCTTTCTTTCAGAGGCTCTTCCACTTATAGAGCTGGAGGAAGAGACAAATGACCTAATTACTCTGCAGAAGAATTATATATTAGGTACAAGTCAGAAATGACTTTTCTATAATTGCATTTACCACAATTGAATCACATGATGCCCTCTCTGTTCTGGTTGCAATATCTCTTTTGCCCTTGAAAAGCTGTTATAATGTCTGAGACTGATATGAGACAGCTGACACCAGATAGCATTCTTCAATATATTGATGCTCATAGTTTTACTCCAAAAATCAAATCAAATGTCTTATTATTATTTGAAGAAGTGGTTTTCAATTAATAGCTCAAATAATCGTGATAGAAATTGGGGATATATTGCATTACCTTATCATGTTACCCTAGCAGCTTTATGTCCGGCTATTAGCACGGTGGGGATTCAAGCTAACTGATTATGTCAGGTATGTACCTTTAATTAACTTTAACTATCTGTTTACATATCTGTAGTGATTTTATTGATTGGGTAGAAACAGTATATTGTAGAATATTCCTACAAGGCCCTCACAGCGGTGTGAGCTAGTATCTACAGCATACAGTAACCACCATCGTAACAGAAACCTGGAAAATGCTAACTGTGTACAGAAAACTTTGTCAAACGCATCATCATTTTCACAGGAAGTCGGGTTACTCTTTGTGGTATGAAAACATCACATCCTGAGCACAACCAGCGTCATGGAAAAAGCCTGGAAATATGTGAGCATGTAAACAGATTTCCAGAAACAGACTCAACAAAGCAGGAACAGGATATGAATCAGTGTCTTCAAAAGAACATGTTGGACTGTTGCCAATCACATATGACAAGATCTGATTCTGAGTCTGATCATATAGCTTTAGTACTATATACCTGTATAAAAAGATGACATCTACAGCTTTTTACTTTAACATTTAACTCACAAGTAATAGGGTAACATTTGGATCTCATCCATGTGATACTATGAGGAAAGCTACCTGGAAACCTAGCAGTAAATACAACTATCGACCATATCTTCAGGATGTATTCTTATGCTGGGTAGACATAACATGACTGTTAACTATAGACAACATTTTTAACAACAGATGATTTTTCCTTTAACACAGGTTTGCTGCTTTTTACAGACTTTAAATTTGACTTGTGGGCGTACTCTGTTTAAATACATCTAGTCTGTACCTAATAATGCAAGGTAAAAGCAATGCCCTTAGTTTGTCTAATGATGCAGGGCCTCAGCCATGTTTAAAAAAAAAATACTGATCCTGAGTCCAAAAGCACCATCTGGACCTGACACTACAGACAAGGTTTTGCATTAAGTGGATTTATTCAGTAACTTTTTTGGGTCCAAAAATGATCCGATTTAAAAATAGAAGTCAAACTCTTTAAAATCAGTCAATATAAATCTGTATACAGTGTGAACAGATGATCCCAGTATCCCAGCAGCATACAGGAAGTGGAGCCACACTTCCTGTATGCTGTCTGTAAGTCATGCAGTGTCTTCCCAGCCTGAAGCTGCTGTGTTGGGATTCAAACACAATGGTTTCTACTGCTGACTAACTACCACTGCAGGAGTCAGCTGCTAACAGGCAGCAGCAGGCATACCCTGAAATACTCCACACCGTCCGTCCTCCTTTTCTGCGGTGAGCAGCCACAACACAGCAGGGGAGAGGAAGTTATCCTGACTGTGGAACACCACCTCACACCCCCATGTGCTCCAGCTTTTACAATCTTAAGGCTTGTTTGCAATAAGAACACACAGGTAACAGATCAGCCCTTATTAATGACATTAAACAGAGGTGGAGTAAGTATTCAGATCCTTTACTTATGTAAATGACTAGTACTCAAATGTAAAAATACTCCATTACAAGTAAAAGTATTGCATTAACAATGGTACTTAAGTAAAAGTATTTAAGCATGATCAGGAAAATGTACTTTAAATATTAGGAGTACAAGTACTCATTACAGGAAAAAAAACAATACATATTTAAATGAAAGCAGAAATTATTCACCTTTGAAAAAACTCGAAACTGTGAAATATATTTACACAAAAAATTACGTAAACAATTACTATAATTGCTGCCGGATTATTGTTTAGTCAACCCACTGATAGTTTGTGTAAATATAGTTTTGAATAGTTTAATCTACATCAAAACACCTTATTTTAAAAGTTCTTTATAAGTTTTGTGTGTAAAAAAATCTACATTTATACATAAAGTATTAACTCGCTACAGTACAATCGCTTTGAATTGTATTAGAGTATAAGTATAAAGTACCTCAAAAGGACTTGAGTAAATGTACTCGGATACTTCCCACCTCTGGTCATCAACCATTCAACGCAGTGTCTTTAGCACTGGTTGAAACCATTCAAAGAACATGAACTCATTGGGTGTGATGGGAAACTTCTACTCCGTGTGGAATAAAGAGTGATGTGGAGAGTTCAGGTGAAGTCATTCAAGTCATTGAGAAGACAAACAGGGGACTGAGTCAACAGGAAGAGAAGCACATGAATCATTCAGGCAGCTCCATTACAAGTACCTCTTTAACATGGGCACTGCAAAGGAAAGGACCTGAAGATGATGCAGCGGGATTCAGACTTTTCAGATCAAATTACTTTTAATCCCCATAAAACTTTGCAGCTCCAGTATTTTTTAGGTAGTTTCACTTATTTACACAACAAATGGCAGCAGCATAGACGTTCTGAATAACTAATGGCGCATTTCCACTACAGCGCGGAGCGCGGTTTAAGCGAGCCGTGCACGGCCCGTTTTTGGTTGCGTTTCCACTTAGCGTAGTACCGGCTAGCGGGTACTATTTCACAGTTATTCTGGCCCCATAAAATCGAGGTTCTTTCCGGGCCAACAACCAGGCTGAGTCGGGCTGAGTATGCTAAACTAGAGAGAGAATCGCTGGCAAGGGGGCTACAACTACAACAAAATGAACATATTTGACCGTGATTTAATTGTAATACACGTTTCAAAATGATGCCGAAGTAACAACATACTGATACCGGTTAGTAAAAACCATGAATTAATGCTTTGACAAGTCTGCAGACAGACGGCAGGCGAAACACCTTTTAAAATGCGTGTTTTCTAGATGGAGATTGGCTAAGCTAACGCAGTATATGCTCCGACCGTCCACACTCACAACGGCCTATACAGACATAAATAAAGCAGCGACTGTATTCGCCATGACACAGGCAGTCTGTGGTTTGTACTTGTTTCACTTTTGTCTAGTTTCTGAACAGATATGAGGAGCTGTGAGCTCTGAGTGCTAACAGCTAACGGCTGTGTTGTTTTTCTGGGGTTCTCATTGAAGATGACGTCACGGCTCCGCCTACACTGCGTTACTATAGTTACTGCCCCAGCTACTAAGCTGTAATGGAAACGCATCATAAAGTGAGCCTGGCCTAACAAGGCCTAACTATACCATACTAAGCCAAGCGAGGCCCTGCAATGAAAATGCGCCATAATAGAACATTTAGAACACACTGAAGCCAATAACGGTACAGATAATGTGCTCTGTTAGCACAATCTGCATTCATCAGATTGTCTTTGGACTATTTAGGAATGCTTTTACTAGAGTTCTACAATTCTCGAAACACTTCAATGGTTGACATTTAGGACAGTTTATCATCTAGTTAATCTAGTACAACCAAATCATTGGAAACACTTTACGTTTTCAGCTTTAGGCAGCACAAATAAATATCCATTCACCTCTACTGAATGTCTCTACAGGGATTCAAAGGTTTCTCTTATCTTGTCTGATGGTTTTAGGACACACACACACACACACACACACACACACACACACACACACACACACACACACACACACACACACACACACACACACACACACACACACACACACACACACACACACACACACACACACACACACACACACACACACACACACACACACACACACACACACACACACACACACACACACACACACACACACACACACACACACACACACACACACTGGGATGTGATTGATAAATGGAGAATGACAGAGAGATAAAGCCTCCGATCATCATTTAATCATGGGTAATTAGTTTCCAGCAGTTTCCTGCTCACACAGAAGATCCTCCTCCTCTCACACAGATTGACAATGCAGAGGGGGGGAAACAAGTGTCACACCCACTCAGGAAAGATTAGCTCACAGAGGAAACTCTAGCTCTTGTTTTTGCTGGAGCAGTGTGGCCTGAGGTCAGGACGCACAGCTGTGTATCAGAGCTGTGTGTGAAATGTGTCTGAAACACACGTTAGCTTTGTCATTTAGAAAGTGTGGAAAGGGAAGCTGAACTTACTTTGACTCCATCTGCTTTTTTGTTCAGCAGGCTCTTGGCTGCTGTGGAGAAATAGAAATCAATGCAAGGAAAACAGATGGAATTAACACATATTCACATAATAAACACCCTTAGACAAAAAACTAGCAAAGTGGGTCGTGCTAAAATAAGACTCAGAAGAGAAAAATGTAAATTAAAGCAGGAGATAAATAAACTGAGAGAATCATTAACCTGGAACATGCAATAACATCCATCAGAGTGGTTAGCCTTCACTTTCTCCTCCCATTTTCACTCTAGCATGTCACAGTTTTATCTAAAACATACTACAGAAACAGCCATACTTTGTAAGTACACTGTACAAACTGAAACGTCGACTTTAGTTAAATGTATTATTTCAACACATTGCACATAACTGTATTAGGTTAGCTGAAAGCAATAATATTCAGTTGAACCTAATATTTGTATTCCGACTTAATATTATTGCTTTCATCTAATCTAATACTATATTGTGTAATCTGTTGACATGATACATTCAACTAAAGTCAACGGTTCAGTTTTTTCGGTTTAGTTTAGGGGGGGGGGGGGGGGGTTGGTTGGTTGGTTGGGGGTTGGTGCATACTCCAAGGCAGTGAGGGGTTGTTATCAGTAGGATTGATTTGTGGAAGATGCATGTTTAGTAACTGATTGACTGTATTGACATCAAATATCTTTAAGATAATAGAGCTTTATAAGTCTTTAAGAATAACTCTTACCTATCACATGAGTTACCAACCGAGAGGGAAGGAAGGGAAACAGAAACACACTAAAGGTCATAATAGTGACAGTTTAGAGTTTAGAAAAATATAACGGATGTGAATGAAACAAACGTTATTGTCATTTGTCAGAGAAACTTCAATATTGTTGAATTCAGTTTGAACATGTTGCCCTTTAGAGGGACCAGAAGATGGCACTGAATCAATCTGCATGCTTCAGTATTTATTTCAGTGAAAAAGGAGGACAGTTAAAGGCCATCAGAATCGAATCAAAGCTGCCACCAAAAGGACAGCATCTAAAGAAGACCTAAATGAATTACTATATAGTCAAACTTGTCAAAAACCTCTAGCTTTGACATTGAAGGGAGCCATGTTTCAGGCTGGTCCACACTGGTTCAGTCTTACCTGAGAAGTTGCGAGTGGCCAGCATCGTAGTCAGAATGGCCCCCTGCAGAGAGGCGGGACATTAGAGTAGCTCTGTTTGGATTGGCTTGAAGGTTAAGGATGTCTAGAACTCACTAAGTCCTCACTGACACTAAGAAGGTGGATCAGTCCAGTTCTGAAGTCTTTACACTGGCTTCCTGTCTGTCAAAGAACTGCTGCTGGTTTATAAAGCATTGAATGGTTTAGAGCCAAAGTACATTTCTGATCTCCTGCTTCATTATGAACCATCCAGAACTCTCAGGTCTTCTGGTCTGCTTTCTTTCCCCAGAGTCAGAACTAAACATGGAGAAGTTCAGTTATTATGCTCCAAACATCTGGAACAAACTCCCAGAATCCCGCAGGTCCTTTTAAATCCAGGCTGAAGACTTTTCTTTTTGCTTTTAATCGAACTATTCATATCTCACACTGCACTCTAACTATTATTCATGTATTTTATGTATTATCTTGTTTTATATTTATTTTATTGTCTTGCTTTTTAATGACTGTTTTGAAATGCCATTTTATATATCGTTTTCCGCTACACTATTTCTTAAAGGTCCCATGTCATGCTTTTCTGGTTATCACCCGTCCCCTTGTGTGTTATGTAGCTTTTTCTGCATGTAAATGGTCTGCAGAGTCACAAACCCTCAAAGTACACCCTGTAGCGAATAAAACTCTAACACAGAAAAGACCTGTCTATGCTGCCCCAGAACGCCTCGTTGGAGATGTCTCTTTTTCCATTGTTTTCTTCCTGGGTATGGTGACGTGCCCATACCCAAATGGACCCAATCCGTGGAGCTCCTCACACACACACACTCTTTTAGCGGCGAAAATGTGACGCGCTGGGGGGGAGGGGTGCTAGTGGAGCCTCGTAGCGCGGCGAAACTGTGGTGCGCCGCGTTTGGGGGTACACGGGGGGGATGCGAGCCAGTGGGCGAGCCGTGTAGGACAGAGAGTGAATACACATACTATACAGAGATGCTGTATGAGAAACCAATATTTCTTTAACTTTAATGCTCCATCTTAGTAAAGCACTTTGAATTGCCTTGTGTTGAAAGCTTCTATATAAATAAACTTGCCTATAACTGAATTTAGCATATTTCTTTTTGAAAACTTGAGCACTGCGAGAACTCGAAGTCTTGCCAAGTACTTTTGTGTAATATCAAGTCAGAATATGTCTTTACACTTGATATAAGACCTAGTAATTTAGGAAGTAACAAGCAGTGATGTAGGGTCTTGATTTTAGACACTGCATCTAAAGTATCAAATTGAGTCAAAGACTCAAAATTGTATCTCAGATTAAACCATTTTCACATTTTCATTGGAAAATAACCCACTAACATCAGAAAACAGAACACTTTTGAGCATTTGTGGCATTTCCTGATTCTGGTAAATATAGTTCAAAATACAAGATGTATGTTCTAAATATCCCATCTTACTTCAAGAAATATTTTCCTTATTACAAGCAAAAACACCTTGTTTGATCATTTTTGTACTTGTTTTTGAAACAGCATTTTCCCAGTGAGAGCTCACTCACCTTGAGTTTCCTCCTAGCGTTGAACTTCTTCAGGCACTCCACAGTCTCCTGTCTGTGCATCATGGACGCCACAGTGGAGCGTTGCTGTGAAAAACAGAGACAGGAGTGTGATGGAATAAGGCGTGTTCACAGTCATGCTTTTAGTGTTGACCCAAGATATGAAATGTGTGAGTGTGTGACACCTACGCAGATCCAGGGGTGTTTGAGTGCGTCTGTCGCTGTCACTCTCTTGGCGGGGTTGATGGTCAGCATCTTGTTGATCAGGTCTTTGGCCTCTGGAGTCACTGTGTCCCACTCAGGAGAGGGGAACTGGGGGAATGACATCACACAAACCAGTTACAATGGCCCACCAACCACTGCAGAGTCAACATGCATCAAATACAGACACAGAGGCACTGCATGTGTCCTTGAAGCTTGGCAAAAGTGTTGAATGCATGCCCTTCCTCATAAAACATCCAAGCCTTTTTACATTCTTACATTAAACACCTGCATTGTTTTTTGCTGGCTTGCAGTTGTCTTCACATCTGTGCAGTGACACTTTTTATTCATGCTTTAACAGCAACAAACTGTAGAGTTGTGGATCGGCATGAAAAAAAAAACACGGGCAGACAAACTGAGCATTGTTTCTTTTTCAATTGTAATGTTTTAAAGAAGACAGGCAGGAATGTGTATGATGTCATCTGTGTGCTCGTGTGTGTGTGTGTGTGTGTGTGTGTGTGTGTGTGTGTGTATGTTCTTGCATCAATGATTCAACAAACTAAACGGGGACACAACCTTTGAAACAATTATGGGTCCAAATCATCTATATGCTTAATATCTCAAGTGATATTTCACTTTCTTTTGAGTAAGTAACTGAATGTGTGTGTGTCAGGATGAAACTCACATCATAAGCTCCAGCTTTAATCTGTTGGTAGAGTCTGTGCTGGTCCTCATCCCAGAATGGAGGATATCCAACCAGGAGGATGTAGAGGATCACACCTGCACAAACACACACAAAACACCAAGAAGCAAAACAGTTTTAGTTTTTTGTATTTGCTTTACTTAACCTGTTAAGCCCTGAGCCTGTTTTTCAGGTCTCAGGCTCGAAAATTACATTCCCAGAACAAATGACCATATCTTCCCTTCTAAAAGGGTTAAATTAATAATCTTTTTTCTCAAAGTAATGATAAACCTGTGAGTTGGATGTGGAAAAGTCAGAATCAATATAGATGTTTTTTATTTTAAAGAAAATTCAGATTTTACATAGTAAAAAACTGTAAATTATAGTGTCCGTCCAAAAATTATTTTGTACTTATAGTGAAAACCACCCTTGGATGATGGGTTAGTAGACTAAAAGCTTTAGGAATCCAAAGTACAACATATAATAAGTACCCTGTATTAAGATTGATGCAAAACAAGTGACATTTGACCTTTTTAGAGAGATTTAGCAAAAATAAACCACTTCTGGTGTCATTTGGGTGGATTTTCCATATCTCTGGCCCCCCTTGCTCGATTTTGATGGTTGACACCTCTTTCTGACCGTTAGAGCCAATAGAATCGAAGGGGGAGTCCCCCACACACACACGCTGTGAAGAGAAAAGGTGGGGGCTTCGCACATGTAATTTTGCATCAGAGTGAACCTATCTTTAGCTTTGACATCTGGAAACAGAAAAGCAGTTTTAATGCTTATGGATGATCAGAAATCATTTCAAAGGGACACAGACACATTGGATTAACCTATGGATTAACTGCAGCATCGTTTTTATCGTTTTAATGCCATTGAAGACCACTTTGGAGAGACTACAGAGCCAAGGTAAAAATGTTAGCATTTTTAGCTACCTAGCGTCACCTGTTTTGATGTCCGTTTTTGCTTATAATGTCGCCATTTCGTATAATTCAGTGGTAATGTCATTCTGTGTCACCTCACGATGTGAATCGATGTGTTGGATGTGGTGAAAAGATAAATAATAAGGTTTTGTGAGTGATTTTCGGTGCAGTAAGGTGTTAGCGTTTTTTGCTCGTTGCTAATTCAGAGGCTCAGTGTTAGCATTGTGGGTTTTCTTTTGAAAAAAAACCCAAAATGATCAGTTAGATGAGTTTCTTCCCGTTACATGGATATAAAACATTCATAGTTTTATTAAATGAACATGCCCTCAGACACTGTTTCCTGCAAGATGTTGCGGCAGTACCCCGGTACCGGGGTCTCTCGCTTAACAGGTTAAAGTGGGTCCTACTAACATAAGAAGCAGAAGAGCAAAATGTAAATGAAACGAGGAGATAAATAAACTGAGTGAATCAATAACCTGGAACATGACATAAGATCCATCAGAGCGGTTTGCCTTCACTCACTCTTTCCTTTTCCCTTAAGCATGTCAATAGTGATAAAAAATCAGGAGTGTCTTCTTGGCTTTGTTGGCAAATCTAGTCCACATAATTTTCAGTTAGAATAGAATAGAATGCCTTTACTGTCACTATACAAAAATATACAATGAGATTTTGTAGTGCAACCCTGTCACAGTGCGCAAGCGAAAACAATACAAACACGAAGACAATCATACGATAAATAACTAGAACATTCCGAAAAATGGTGACTGTGTGACTGAAACTTGGGTGCGCATCCCGATGCTAACATTACCCCCGCTGAGTAAGTATTAATAGTATTGTGATTGTAGTAATGTGTTTTTATTACATGTACAGCACTTTGGCTCGACCAAAAATCGCTTTTAAATGTGCTTTATAAATAAAACTTGATTTGATTTGATTTAGTATTAGTTGTATTGTTAAGGTACAACAAAGAATATCCATTCATTTGAGCTCACTTTTAGCTGATTATTTGAACTGTATCTAAACATGTTTGGATTCTTGCACCACATTCCTGCATCGTTTCTGAACATCTTTAGATTACCACTGGATTTAGTTAACGACCGACAGGTGTGTTCAAAGATCAAAGCGTTTCCACGGCAACGCCCTGCCAGTGAACGAGAGACAGCCTGTCAGAGAATGTATTGACAATATTGTGCTGCATTATTGCTTCTAAGTAAAAAACTGTAACTCCAATCAGCTAAGTATCCTAGCCAGAGTATTCAGGGTACCAGATGAACACCTGATGACTCTCGTGTTTGCTATATGTGTAAGTCCGTTTGATTACATTAGCATATCGGTGCGGCCGTGACAAACTTCCCTACATTATGATCACCTAATTATGTATGAAGAGTGAAAATTGTGGCCAGTCGAGCAATAGTTGGAAAAAATGATCGCAGTTTTCTGAGATTTGCGTTAAAAGAGCTAAGTGAATCTCTTATAAAAGAACTAGCAACCCGGTCCCGGTCATTCCGCACGTTTTGATGTGTTTTTTGTGTGTTACGTGTCAACGCTGCCGGACAAGTAGCATGACAACATTTGTGGCGGAAGAAGGAGAATAAGATGAGATAAGTATGTTGAATACTAGATTGCGTGTGGCTTCGCCAGTCACACAGAATTAAAAGAAAGAAGTTAAAAAAAGCTATAAAGTGCATTTAAAAAGTAGTTTAAAGTGCATATGAGTTGGTTAATTAAATGATATTGCACTTAGGACTGTTGTTTTAACAGTCTGGAGGTCCAGGGGTAAACAACTGTTCAGTCTGTCCGTGTTTCAAACTCCTGTTCTCCCCCGACCGGAGGGCAGGGGGAGAAGTTTGTGACCTGGGTGGGAGAAGTCCTTTATAATTGTCTTTGGCCTGCTGAGGAATACTGTTTTTTTCTCCTGCTCCTGTCTCTTTATTGATCACAATAATTACAACTCTCTGATTTATGGAACAAAAAGAGCATTAACATCAGATTACATTTGGCTGGCGCTTCTATCCACAGCGACTTACAATAAGTGCAAAAACCACAGAGATTCAAACTCCCATCAGCATGTGAACATGCAAACAGAGTGTGAGAAACAAACAGAGGATTAGGAGTGCACAGAGAACAGAGTGGGGGGGGTGGGGGTTGCATTACTGTATTAACAATACTTTTTAGTATTTGCCAGTGTGTTTATGTTATTAAAATACATGTGTTTTCTGTTTTTGCAGCGCCAATTTGTATTCGGTGTTTCTTTATCTGTATTTGGTTGGGTTTTTAGTATTTGCAGCATGTTTCTGTATTTGTTTGTGTTTTCTCTGTTCTTCTCAAAGCAGCACATGTCTGTGTTATTGTAAAGTGTTTTCCTTGTTTGCTGTGTTTGAGCTCTGCCATCTGAACAAGGTGAGAATGGAAGAAAACAAATATACATGATCGTATAAATAAAGAACAGTGTAGTAGAAGAATAGAATAGGAATAGGGGAGGGATGAAACCCTCTGTAATGGTCTCACATGCAGAGCACACAGCACACACAGTGAAATGTGTTCTCTGCTTTTAACCCATCCTAGTACCAGGAGTCTAGTACTAGGAGCAGTGGGCAGCTATTGTACAGCGCCCGAGGTACCATTACCAGTAGCATGCACACTCAGTGATTGTGTGAGCAGGAAAGGGGGATTCTGATTGGGTAATGGGCTGCCAGGAAGAGATGAAAGGGGCCTGTATTTGACGATGAGACAGACTGACCATAAACACAACACCGGCCATTGTGTGTGTGGACTCAGTGAGTCAGCACAGGTGCGGTGAAGAGGTGTGTGTGTGTGTGTGTGTGTGTGTGTGTGTGTGTGTGTGTGTGTGTGTGTGTGTGTGTGTGTGTGTGTGTGTGTGTGTGTGTGTGTGCGTGCGTGCGTGCGTGCGTGCGTGCGTGCGTGCGTGCGCTCTGGCCAGTCACAAGTGTTTGTAATGAGCGTATGCAATGATTAATGCAGGAGGCAAGAGCCCTCTGTACGCTGTGATACAGGAACTACATAAACAGCACATGCAGCACAGGATCAGGGGGGGTGGTTTCTCTTGCTCTCTTGATTACTGGCTCTATTGATCACAATAATAACAACTCTCTGATTTATGGAACAAAAAGAGCAATAACATCACATTTTCATTTGGCTGGCGCTTCTATCCACAGTGACTTAGAATAAGTCATACCGTTGTAAGAGCTGCTGAATTAGTTACAAAGCCTAAATTATCTTTTTTAAAAGTGTTTTTTTCTTTTGAATTTCATTACCAAGGTACAATCCAAACAGATGGGTTAACAGTTTGTGAGACAATCAGGAGACATTACATGCCATTTCATAGATAATCATAGACATTCAGAATACAAACTATATATAACATTCCTGTGACACTGTTCATAAATACTGTAGCCACTTCTCATACATGTAAGATCCTTCTCGTTAAGAGCCTATCTTTTTGCTGGCAGTCCCTTTAATCTGAATGGCTGTCTCCTGCCATGGTGTTTTTTTCGTGCAATTACTGAAATGACAAGCGCCTGCTCAATGAGGCTACCGAGGTTTATCACACCAACAGTTAAAGGGGCCGTATCATGTTCCTTTTCAGGTTCAAACTTATATGTAGTGTCTCTACTGTGACATGTCTCCATGCTTTATGTTCAAATAGCTCTCTATTTTTCTGCTGCAGCACTGTCTGAAACCAGAGCCCAAAGTGGAATAGGGCCCTATTACTTACCACAGGCCCACATGTCCACTGGCATGCCGTACGGATCTTTCCTCAGCACCTCTGGAGACAGGTAGCCTGGTGTACCGGCAAAACCTGAAACACAAGCACACACAAAGACACCTTTCAGATCACCCCTGTATTTTAATAAACACTTTGACCAATGCCACACATTTTCATTTGTGTAGTCTGACACCTCATCTGCTGCTGTAGGTCCCGGGGGGGTCAATACACTTTTTTCCAGTGGCTAAGGATCAGTGGTCCCATAACGTTTATGAGCCGAGGTTAACAAGCTCCAAAGAAAATCATTTAGCAGTTTTGCTCATGAACATCCAAATTCAGCCTACTTTTAAAAAAGCCTCAAAGTAGCAGCAGAAATGTAGTGCGTGTAGAACTAAAGTCAGAACACAATGTGAACTGGTTCCAGATGGGAGCAGGGGAACGGAACAATTATTTCTCTATTCTGCAGGGAATACCGGGGGAAGAAATAGAAGTGACAGATATTCAATCCAGAGCCGAGAGCAATAGCACACCTCGTCTCTTCAGACAGGCAGAACTTTAATCCTAAAATGGCACATGAAGATATTTATTTGATTTAGCAGTTTATCGAAAAAACCAAAGTAGGACAAACATCTTCATCGCTGCCTTTACTTTTCTCATCAGCTGGGAAAGAGAAAAAAGTGCATCAATGTTCCATTGTCATGTGAGAGGAAATTAAACTTTTAGTGTCTAAAATTGGATAAGAGCATCAGCAACAAACCCTGAGGATGCAATGAATCTTTAAAGGGGCTTTGAATCGGGAAGTAACATCATTCAATATTTAAAAACATAATTATGATGAATTATTTTACAGGCATTGTAGTTTCTATTTTTGGAAAACATTATTTCTAAATGAATCATGCCTGAGAAAAAAACATAGGATCAATGGGATCCATGAAAGTGTGCTTTTGGTTTTACAGGATCAAAACATGACAGAGCTGAACTATCCCATCACAATCCTACTCCACTGATTTGACTTTCATAAAAAGAAAGTGTCTAAGAGCCAGGGCCCGAATGCTAAGGGCGCATCCATCCATGACATTCAAAATGTTTAACTTTTACTATTTTTATATACTATTAATAATACATATTAGATAACAGAACTAGGCCTGCAGTACACTGTGGCAAACATGTGGGACAAATGCCCTTTGATGGCATTTCTGAGTAGCCCAGCTCAGACACGGTTATTGTGAATGAGCCTGTAAATAAGAATGAGGGGTCAGTAACGTTCATGAAGACCTCATTTATGAAACAGAATGTACTGACCGAACCAGGCCTGCTGGTCTCCCTGCACCTCGATGGCCAGGCCGAAGTCCGCCAGCTTCACCGCAGCCCCCTTCAGCTTACTGGCTAACAGAAGGTTCTCCGGCTTTAAACACAGATACAACATTCAGTTACTCACCAAGGAAGGAGATATCAATTCATAATGAGCTAAACATGACTGAGGTACAGTGGTGTAATGTCGTGAAGTACATTTACTCAAGTATTGCACTTATGTACGATTTTGTTGTAGTTTTGCTTTACTTAGTTTTATATGTTATGCTACCTCATACTTCTACTCCACTTCAATTTGGAGGTAAATATTGTACTTTTTACTCCACTACATTTATTTGACAAAGTGAGTTACTTACTTAAGAGATTCAGATATTAGCCAACACAAAATATCAATAAACTAGGAAATAAACTATGCCATATAGCTATGGGTAAAATATCCAGCAGTAGTATATTAAGTATTTAAAAAGGAACTCCACTTGCAGCTGGAAAAAGAATAAAGAACACATTATTGCATAAAAAAATATAATCCAGTAATTGAATATATACTGTATGATTATGGGACATTAAGTACTTTTACTTTTGGTACTTTCAGTATTTGTTGATGCCAATACTTTTTTACTTTTACTAAAGTAAGATTTTAAATTCAGGACTTCTACTTGTTAACACTAGTATTTCTACTTTTACTTCAGTAAAATATCTACAGTACTTCTTTCCCGCTGAAATATAGATTTTGGGAGGTTTTATTGCAGGCTTTGAAGCAACAGGAGGGCCATTTCTAGTCCACAGAGAAACAACATGAAGAAGTGAGTGAGCTCATAAACTAATAATATATGTTGGAGGCAGACTGTAAGTTGTCCGGAGCAGAGACTATCATCTCCTGGTGGAGGCTGTCAGTCGGGGGAGGGGGGGGGGGGCTGACCTCAGCACAGATGGATATCATTCAACAAGACGCAGGCGGCTGCAGTGAAATTGGGCGTGCGAGCCCTGCTGGTGGAGAGGGGGGGTGAGAGGGGGGGCAGTGACTCATGCCAGACCCCAGCAGAGCTCCAGGACTCCGAGAGGATGAATAATTCATTTGGTGACATTTAAAAGCGTTATCCTTGATGAAGCCAAACGGTTTTGTGACCGAGCTGTAATGGGAAGAAAATAGGCTGCTGCTGTTATTTTGCAACCATTAAACAAGTTATATTAAAAACAGTGGTCACCTTGGCTCTATACACTGAGGGGCCCCTCCCTTATTTTCATTATACTACTTTCACTCTCACATACTGTATAACTTAACATGGGAATGACTTGAAACAGTTAAGTTGATTTTTTTGGTCAATTTGTTCTACTCGATGAACCGTGGCTGAATCTTTGTCAACTATCAAAGGGCTACTCAAAAAAAGGTAAGAGGTTGTTGTTGTCATACGAACTAGAGCATAGACAACAAATACATTTAAAAATGTTTACATTATCAAAACTAATGAAAGTCAAATCCATCAGTAAGTTATTGTCCTATAAAAAATGTGGGTTACCTTTGTTTTTGATTCTGCTTGTTATTAAAATAAATCATGGTTTTGTTACACAATGGATTCGGCTATTTAGATGATTTCCCACAATCACCTGCCATACAGACAAATCACAAGTGGCATACCATACATAAAAGTAGCAAATCAATAAAAAAAAGGTAGCTCCATTTGTCCTTTATTTTTTATTGTGAACGCTTAGTTTTATTGATATGCCACTTCTCTCAACCTCTTAGTTTTTATCTTTCTTTTCATTACTTTAATTGTTTAATTCATCTAATGAGGGATATTGATATCAATGTCCACACCTGTCATACAGACATAGCATATGAAGATAGACATACAAATGTTGAAAAAAGAAGTGGATTACAAAAAAACTGAAAAAGTGATTTGATATGCCACTTCTTTTTATCTTTCTTTTTTTTATTACTTGTATGTGTGTGTGTGCGTGTAAGCTGTGTGTGTGTGTGTGCGTGCGTGTAAGCTGTGTGTGTGTGTGCGTGTAAGCTGTGTGTGTGTGTGTGTGTGTGTGTAAGCTGCGTGTGTGTGTGTGTGTGTAAGCTGTGTGTGTGTGTGTGTGTGCGTGCGTGTAAGCTGTGTGTGTGTGTAAGCTGTGTGTGTGTGTGTGCGTGCGTGTAAGCTGTGTGTGCGTGCAGTGTTTCAGGAGCTGTACAGCACATTTTGTCGTACGATTTGCAATTGTTTTCCCTTAAATATTTGCCTTTAGCAAATACAGCTTATATTTGAAAGATTAGGCAACATAAAGCTCTTGTTTAAGATATTTGAAATATTGTATCTGAATACCTGATATGAAGATCCTACCTATGAAGCTATTTGGCTATTCATAAAGTATTATATAAATGTTATTTCTCAGCTTTGACATCACTCACTCTTCCAATGATTCCTCCTCTGGGGTTGTAATGACAAAATCATCCTGGATTCATATTCTTGTAAATTCCTACGTATTTGATAGACACTCGACCTCGTAGATTAATGAGAGGCCAAGAATGAATGATTGCTTACACAATTCTATATTCACTGCCTACACAGACTTTTGGAAAACAGTTTGAGGTTTTAATTCCAGAAGCAACACATGAAATCAGTTGAATCAATAAATCAATTGTCAGATTGGTTGAGCAGTTAGTAGAGCATGTGTGAATTCTGCGTGGTGCGTTCAGGTGAAGGGAAGGGAGAAGGCAGAATGGAAAAAGGAAAGGGGGAGCATTCTGGGTAAACATTATGCTGTGAATGCAAATGATCCGCACCATATGTTACCACTACAAACACTTTGAATCTGCAGATTACGTTTAGAGCCAGAAACATAATGACAATGCTGGGAAAACAAGTCAGACAAAGTATTAACAAACCCTGAGGTCAGCCAGACTTGTTTGGAAGTCAAAACCTGGTTTTACCGCCAATTATCAGTTTTTACATGATCTGTTGGCTTGTTTACATTTATCATTTTGATTCCGTCATTATTGACCCGGTGGGTTTTGTCTTTGTGTTTCCAGATATCAGCAGTAGAGATGTGAAGTGAAAAAAACATGGGGTTAGAAAGTCCCATCCAGTTTGATTTGTGTTACGGCTCTCACCAACCCGAATGTAAAACACCTGTGATAGAATTGTCCTTTAAAGTATCAAGGCTGTATTTTATAAGCTCCTAATAATAATGTGAGCGGGGCCCAGTTGCTTTAATGTGTCATTGCGTTCTTCTCTTAAAACTCACCAAACCTGTTAAGCACTACAACAGTCTTTCCCTTTAACTAATGACCCCAGTCAGGCAAACCCAGTCAAACTAACATAATGTTGGATATAAATAGAACTCGGAAAGCATTTCACTAATGGGATGTTCGGGGTGTGGGCCAGATCCCCTTCGAGCATCGTTACGGAGTCATATCCAGAGTTCCCGTTAGAATAATTATTTGCCGGTCAACATGTCCGTTACAGTTTAAATCTTCCGGACAAAATTAGAAAAGTGCCGGTCAAAGGTCTTCTATGTTATTCATTGAGCTTTGAAACAAATTGATATGATTCGATATTAAACAAACTAATTATAGTAGATTAATTAACTATTCAAACGTGTACAGTAACTTACAATAACACGGGAATAATAAACGGAGCGCTCTCTCCCTCTCCTGACAACACGCCAGTATCATGCAGCTCGCGGATCCAGTAATGAGCGACCCGACAGTAAAACTAAACATATCTATAACTAGTTTAGGTAGTTTGAGAGGTAATTAAAATAGCTAAGTGTGATTTTCTAACCTGAAGTGTGTGTGTGTTGTTCCGCTCACCGCTGCAGGTGATCATGCAGAGCTGCCTGTCGACTCGTCAGCAGCAGCTGATCTCTCTCTCGTCAGATTAGACTTCACTCGCGTTTATGTCCATATCGATCAGATCTAGCTAGTTCTAGCTAATGATATGACTACCTGCTTATTAAAAGACACCTAAACAATAAGCGTCGCTATGCAACCGGGTGAGGCCGCAAAGTATAGCGCAGCATTATGCATTTGTTTACATGCCCACCGGAACCCAGAGGCATTACCATCAGATCAACGCACAATCAACCCATACAGGACATCACTTTCTCCACATTAAGTGTTAGACATTATAATTGACTATTCTTGTCTGTCACATACTCTTTTGTCTGTCACATACTCTTTTGTCTGTCACATACTATTCTTGTTTGTCACATAAGTGGCGCAACTGATGCGGTATTGCGCTAAGGGGAAATAATTTTGACCGGACATTTTGACCGGAGAGATTTAGATTTGCCGGTCTTCAGCATATTTTACCGGTCACAGTCCGGTAATTGCCGGCTAACGGGAACTCTGGTCATATCATAACTTCACTTTGAGAAAACACACTCACACACACACGCATGCCTGGGTTCCTGCATGTATGATCACTATAGTGTTCAGTTCCGATTGATCTGGATTTATTTTCCGTCCGTGTGGCTGGTGTGATACATCGGTTATTAGATTCTGTCTGACACTTTGGTTCATAATGTAGATAGCATAACTGGCAGCTAAAGCAGCGTTAGTTCTACACGCTGCACTTGCTGCTAAAATGTTGCACACATACAACTTCCCCCAATGTTTTAACTTCAAAACACAAAAAATAATGGTACTTGGATTTTTTTTCAGACAAGAAATAAAGAGAGATAGATAAGGTCACTTTAAAAAAGTACAATCGTGTAAAACCAGACACTAAACTACAGATTGGTAAGAACATTTAGAATGAAAAGAAAAGCGTTTTAGTAAGGTGTTTCACAAGGAGCATCATAACTATTTATCAAAGGTTCAGAGAGTCTATACTGGATGAAAACATAATTCTTCCAAAAGATATTCCATTCCTTAGGTTTTGGCGAATGGCATTGGAGAGACACGTCACTCCAAAATCTTCCACAGGTGCTCCATTTACAATGTTGTGTATAATGTAGCTGAACAGGTAGCTCAAGGAACAGGGAGGACTTCAAGCATTCTTGAACAGAGAGAATAATTGTGGTAACCATCATTTCATTCGACCACGAGTCGCCTTACAGGAGAGAGTTCAGATTGATATTCTTGGCCCTGCAGGGACAGTACAACAGTTTGCCTTTCTTTTATAGAGATGATTCAGAAACTTGAAGCAGCGATGAGATGGTACATCAACTCTCAAAAAAGGACAGACATGACGTGTTCCGTGTTGAGGACTTGTTGCATTTTCTGACTGTTTGAAGAGGATTTACTGTGTTGGCAGTCCGCCCAGAAGCAGTAAGTAATCAGCACCTGGGCAAGGAAGTGAGTGGCAACCTCAGACAGTTATACAGTTAGTGAAATATGCCAAGAACACAGTGAAAGTAGTTTATCAATCAGAGTTGTTGCAGCCGGACGTGCTGAGCAGAATGTTGTTGTTCTGAACAGAGGAATGACTGGATCACCAGGAGTTCAGTCTTGAAGATAGACAGATGAAGGTGGTTCCTATCAGGGGTGTAGTGCTGCCAGAGCGCACCGGAGAGCACTGGAACGCCACTACGGCACTTCAAAAAGTGCAGTAGGCATAAGGAGCTGTACACATGCCGCGTTTTTTGCGTGGCTGTGTCTTTAGTTGTAAGCCCAGTGGCGATCTGTTCATCTGTCATACTGATCATACAGTCAAGCCATCGAAAATACAAGATACAGTACAGTAAGTACTTCTGGGTCTCTGTGTTTCATTCAAGATCGACCCACACTGTGTGTGTGGGATTGTTGTTGTTAGCATCTGGTAAGCTAGCTGCGCTAACTTATAATAGAGCTGTATCAACAAGAAGGTGGAGGAGAGCTCTCTCCTGTCAGCTAGTGAGGTAAAGAACTCTCTGAGGGTTTAGATATTTAACTTTAGTCTAAGTTATCTCACGGTTTGGTCACCGTTTGGGTAAACAAATATTTCCAAGGCACACCTTTATATATTTATTATAGTTGTAGTTTAGAAGGGAGTGATTTGTAAAATATGCATAAAGAAAAAGTTAATCTGTAGAGAGTTCCGTTTCATATGGGTGTTGAGAGATGTGTCCATAGATCTAGTGCACCAGATTGATGCATTTAACTTCAACATTTAAAAAAATCTTCCCGGGGGAGTAAGCCCCCCAGACCCCCCTAGAGGATGTTAGGTGACATGGATAGGATACTAAATACATTTGCACACTTTTATATAATAACCTATGTCCATATGTTTCTGTTTTGGTGGTCATGCCACAACCGTGCGCGTGCATGCATGATCAAATCATATGTGTGCTCCGGTACTTCTAAAAATAGCACTACACCCCTGGTTCCAACATCAATTCTAATATTTCACTGAGGCAGGGTCAGATCTGTGTCAAGACAGTAGTATTTTGTAGTGTGAATGGTCTGCAAAGGCTAACATCCCTGTATCTTTATCTGGAACATAGTGACATCACAATGTAACACTCTCGCTCCTATTAGCTAGCGCTCATATTGTAGGTGATAGGCTAAGGGGCGGGACATCTCTAAGTGGCTGACCAATCACAACAGAGATGGCCAGCTAACCAATCAGAGCAGACTGAGCTCTGGTTTCAGACAGAGGGTGAAAAGAGGTGCTGCAGCACAGGCAGTATGAGAAAAATAAAGAGCTTTTTGAACATTAAAGCATGGAGACATGTAGAGACACTACATACTGATATACACCTGAACATCAGCAGGAGAGGACCCTTTAAAGTAGAGACACTACATACTGATATACACCTGAACATCAGCAGGAGAGGACTCTTTAAAGTAGAGACACTACATACTGATATACACCTGAACATCAGCAGGAGAGGACCCTTTAAAGTAGAGACACTACATACTGATATACACCTGAACATCAGCAGGAGAGGACTCTTTAAAGTAGAGACACTACATACTAATATACACCTGAACATCAGCAGGAGAGGACTCTTTAAAGTAGAGACACTACATACTAG